AATAATTTGCCATAGTTATTCTCCATGGGCCTCATCTATATTTATTTTTGGTTTTCCCAATGATATTAAGGCCCAATGATATTGAGCCTATCCAAAAATGTATGGCAATTTATGCTGTACAACCATGTGCACCATGCATGGTGCATATAAAATTGAATTCATAATTTCTATATTATAGATTTATAATTATTGAATTTTATACACAATTACATAACTCTATATACAAAGACTATGTGGTTTAATGGCACCTACGTTGGGCTTCTAGTTGGAAGGTTATGAGTTCAAGCCTTAGTGGAGGCGTTATTGGTTCTTTGTATTTTACAAAACTATATGTTCATAATTTGATAACTATACAGTTTAGAAATTATGAATTTACAGTTTCAGTTGCACAACATAACGCTCCAACATGTATTGGGTTATGAGAATGCAATTGAATGGTTGGTTTAGAGTATGAGAATGCAATTGAATGGTTTGTTTAGAGTTTTGGAGTCCGAATGATATGTACACACCGGAGTTTCTCAAGATCATTTCTATGTCTAGAAAGCCTTGGGGCATCGATTATGGTAAATTCACAGCGTGGATCATAACAAAAAATACATTTTTAATATGTTAAATGTACATTATTTGTGTATTAAATGTATATTATAAAATAGAAAAAATTACACTTTTGGTCCTGTAACTATTCGGGTCTTGTTAATTTCAGTACTTAACTTTAAAAACTAACAATTTAGTCTCGTAACTATGCAATTTTTAACACATTTGGTCCTCTCGGCCAAATGTCGGCGAAAAACGTAAATCATTGTAAATTTTTTATTCATGGGGCGGGGGGGGGGGGGGGGGGGGGGGGGCAAAATGGTTAATTTACATTGAAGTTGCAGCCTCGAAAGACTCTTTTAGGCCCATATCTGCAAACTTAGGGTGTGGCAGTTATTCTGTTGAGAATTTAAGATGCGTTTTTTGTTGAAATTTAAGGTGCGTCATTCTAAACTTTTAGGTGCGTCTTTCCATAGCTTAAGTTGCGTCCTTTTAACACTTAAGGTGCGCCATTTTAACATTTAAAGTGCGTCAGTTATAAACTTAAGGTGTATAAGTTCTACTTTATGGTGCGCCATTTTTATACTTAAGGTGCATGATTTTAATTTATTACTTAAAGGTGTGTCATTTTTACAAACTTAAGGTGCATAAGTTCTACGGCCGCCTAGGAGAAATCGCAACAGCTTATAATTTCTAATTAAAGTTATATACTAACTCAAGCAAGAAAAATGGGTAAAATTACCGACAAGACGTCAATCAAGTTGACTAATAAAGAAACTCCATAACCAGAACGTTAGTGTTTGATAACTTTGATTCCCTATATTATGAATTTGATAATTTTGATTTCAACGGAGAACAATAGTTGAAGTTAATGCGAAATTTTGTTTCTTTATTCTTTCCCTTCTCTTTTCTATGGTGAATTTTGATTTCATAAAGATGAGAGTAAAGAGAGCTTCTTCTTTATATTTTATGACAAAGACATCATATCGGAGCTTCTGCAGATAAATAGAAGAAGTGAGCATTGGGAAATCTTCATTTTTTTTTTTTGGGTAAGGGAAATCTTCATTTATTCTTGCAAGCATGTTAAGTTGCATGAAATTCTTCACCAAATGATAGAGTTGTTACATAAAAATGTAACGAACATTAATTAAGGATATGGTTACAAACATAATTAGCATCAATTAATGATGAGTGGACTTTTGAAACTGCGCCACCCACCCCCAACTCTTTTCTGGTGGGACAACCACATGAAGCACTTACATTATTGAGCTGGAGACAACGGCTAAAAGAAAAAACTAAAAAATAAAATTATAAGCCACTGTTACTGATAGCTAGCCACGGGTAACAGTTGTGTTAAATAAATAAATAAATAAATAAATAAATAAATAAATAAATAAATAAATAAATAAATATATATATATATATATATATATATATATATATATATATATATATATATATATATATATATATATATAGGGACGCACTCAGGTGCGAATAAGTGTCGAGGAAGGAAATGCGAACGAATCAGCGCGTGACACGTGTCCAGATCTAATAACTTAAAAAAAAACGCGGTGGCATTTTCGTAAATAATTGAACATCGAAGTGCAAGTAAAATCTCTTATAAGTGCACCTATTTTCACCTATAAGTGCATGTAGTTTTGCCTTGTTAGCATTCACTTTCCGCAACCATTCATGCACCTGGGTGTGCTTATAACTATATGTGCAACTATTTATAACTATAGGTGCAACTACTTATAACTATATGTGCACCTACTTTCACCTATTTGTGCATGTAATTTTGTCTTGTTAACATTCATTGATCTGAGTTCAGCGGGTAGTAATACTCCTGAAAACCACGCGCAAACATTCATACACCTAGATGCAACTACTTATACGGTTATACCTATGTGTGCAACTACTTAGAATTATAGGTGCAACTACTTAGAACTATAAGTGCAACTAA